CCTCTTATGCCCTCCCCCACGCCACAGCCGCTTTGATTTGCAGAGATTATTCTAAGCAAGAGATTGAGACTAGCGAAGGAACAAAGGGATCTATTACTGTGCCTAATGGCCCCAGCGGTTCAGACAAGGTTAACCTCTCTGGATACTTGGGAAGGAAATTCAAAACACAGACATGGATACTTTGTGGCTTCCTTAGACTCCCTTAGACGCTGATCTGTAAACAAGTTGGGCCAAACCACCAAGTGGATAAGTAGCGCTTTGGCCTTACTTACAATCCCTCTCTGCTCACTCTAAGTGCCTGGCTTCTTGCAAAGCCGAGACGTGTTAGGGGTTTGAGAAAAGACAGAAAGCAAAGAAAGTCTCTCTCTCTCTCTCTCTCTCTCTCTCTCTCTCTCTCTCTCTCTCTCTCTCTCTCTGTGAGATATCTAAAAGATGAGCCACCAAACAGTAGAGCATTGTCCATGTGATTTATGGCCCTTTGCCTCCTTTTTAGGTTCAAGCAGAGTTCACAAGCAGTTGGTATTTCAGAAAAGAAATAAAGCTTCTCAGTTTTCTGAAATATTCTCTCAGAAGGCCTTGTGGGTTGTTTGGGAAAACCTGGTTTTGGTGAATGAAGCAGGAGGCCAAGGCAGTGTAAACAAAAACCTTTCAGAACAGGCCACCAGTGAGGTTGCCAATGGCTGGAAGTTGGGACTTTATGATTATAGATTATTGTTTGTGATAAATAAGTGCTTAAACACTATTAATGTGTAGATGTATGGAAAGCAGTCATGGACCTCCTGTTGGTTAGTTTTATTTTTGCTTAACAGAATCCTTCCATCTCCTGACCATTTGGTTCCACTTTCTCCCTCTTTCTCACACACACAACATACATGTAGCTGCCAGCTGAGGATACGACTTCATGCATGAGCTCTAGTCCAGGAAAGCTAATGCACAATAAATCTGTACATCTTGAAGGAGCCAAGACTTTTTTTTGCCTTTGCTCCCAGACTTAGCCATACAGCAACTTAGCCTCTGTAACTCCTCGCAATATTTTAGCATTCTGAGGGTATATGCTTCAGCAGACATGCAACCTTCCCAAGCTAATTACCTAAATAGCTACATTATGTTAGGATTTAAAAAAAATCAAAAACATCTTAAGCACTTTTTGTGGAACAAACAAATGGAATGAATAATTCCATGGTTCCTCTGTTTAAAATATAAAGTGAACATTTGCAAACTAGCCAGTAACGTAAATATTCTGCAGATTAATTGACGGGAGGGGGGGATCATAACGAAGATGGGGAAATACAGCAAAGTGAGAATATTGTTAAGACCCATATAATATTTATTTGTAATTTAAGCACAGCCATGATGTCTAAAAATGATACTGGGAAAGCAGCAAACTAGAAAGAGAGCATACTGATATCACTACCTATAGTAATGCAAGGAACGGCAGTCACAGAGAGTAGCTGCTGTTTGGGGATACCATTTTCTGAAGCATTGAAGTGACTGAGTTCTGTAATTCCAAGCAGATTTATTTCTGTGCAAGCAGTCAAAAGTTCAGAAGCAGTCAACCAACCCCCTTCCTTTTTAATTTTAATAGCATCTATTCATGGGCTTATTTAAGGTCCAGTGGCTGTAAAGTGTAACATAGAATAAATAAAATAAATTGAAAACATATTTTAAATTGGTGAATTATGGATTACTTTTTGCATATCAGAACTGCTTGCTGAAGACACATTCCCTTGATCGCATCATCAGAATGCAACTTGCTGAGCAAACCAAAGACCAGTTCTCTGCCCCCTCAATTAAGGACAGATCCTGTAGAACTCAGTGGAATCCACAGGCTTCCAAGACTATGTTTGTCAGTTATTTGGAAGTAAATTTAACTGGAATCAGTTCAGTCTTCCTTTAGAATGTTTTTATTTATTATGTTTATAGTCACTTTTTTCTGCAAGGAACCCAAGAAGTTTACATAAACATCCTGTTTTTCTCTCCCCCTTGCAACCTTCGCAACAACTCTGTGACAGTCAGTGACTTGCTCAAACTCACCCAGTGAGCTGGGACTGGAGCTCCTTCCACAGGGGATTTAGGAGGGAAAAGTTAAGCACCCAGTCACAACTGATGGCCTATGCAACTAGGCAAGAACAGGTATCTCAGAAACTGTTCTATGGACAGCTTAGTCCTGAAGACTTTGCTTAGAAGTAAATATTATGAATTTGGCCTATACAGAAATGCACTGTGCATCCAATATAACACATTAAGATATAGATTTGATATGCATTTATCTACTTACTAATGAATTGGGTTTGAATTTTGCTCCTCCTCCAAGGTGATCAGACTGGCAGATTCGCCCTCATTTGATCCTCACAACAACCCTATAAGGTAGCTTAGGCTGCAAGGCTCAATAGCTCTGGTAGGCAGGCTCAAGATAACTCTGTGTAGAACTAAGGCGATGTGGAGTGATCCTTATTAATTAAGAGAGTAAACCAAGATTCTTTCTAGCAATGAGAATATGTTTCCATCCACAAAATACAGGTTTACACTCAGGATTAAAGAGCTAACACAGAGCACAGAACTAATATGAAACCATACCTTATAGCTAACAGGGAGAGTAAAACATTTGTGTATGTCATTTTTTCCTGAACCAGGAAACTTTTCTGCATGATAATAAACGAAGAGAAAAGCTTTTCTGTCTAATGGAAATCATCTCTTGTACTTTAGATAGCTTAAAAGCATAAAACAACCCCAAATAAACCTTGGCTGAAATATCCATAAAGACTAAGAGGTAACTAAGAGCTGACCTATGTATTTCTTCTTTATATTGCAAATCAAAGTTATTGAATGCCCTTAGTTACACTTTAACTTCTTAGAAATCTTCCCAGGAAAAACAAAACAAAACACCAAGAGACAGGATTTACAATAGAGATGGAATTTTCACTGGTTTTTCAGGTTCCAGTTCTGATTCCATCCATCATGTCACTCTAGGCTCACAAAAACCAATGCGCCTGCGTGACCTGAGGAAAAAAAAAATGTGTTGGGGGGGAGAAAAAGGCAACAACAACAAAAGATTGGTTAATATTTATACCAAAATAGTACAGACATCAAACAGCAAGGGTATAGAAATGCTTGCCTAAAACAATAAAGGAAATAACATGGTGGAAGAGAGAGGAGGGTTTTTTTACAGCCTTTTTAAAAAATCAAAACATTAAAAATATTAAGAATTTGTTGATAAATTGGGGGCAATCAAATAAAAGTTGACTTTTTAACAGCTGGTTCAGGGTAGTTTAGCAAGCCACACTACCGTAACAATTCTCCATGTTTGCCAGAGGCTTTTTTTACCCTTTCTTTTTTAAAGTCCTTATACTGGGATAAGATTTAGCATCTGTTTGAAATGAGTAATACTAATACGAAGTTCTGAAAGGTCATCCTTAAAAACTAGGACAGCTAAGATAAACTTCTGACTCTTTCTAGACTGACAAAAACCAAGACAACAATGCCCAGAAGTATTTCATAGAAGGACCTGTATTTCCCTTCTGCTCTGAGATGTGTTGATTCAGTGCTGAATTTAGCCCGGTTGGTTTCCTCCTCTGATTTCATCATAGTCACAGGCATTGCCACCTTACATGCTTCACTTGTTTCAGAGTTGTGCACTTTCTTGAAGATGCAAGACTCCAGTATTCATGCCATTCGCGCCCTCCTCCTCAATATAGCCCAGTTCTCAACAGGTATAGTTGGAAAGCCATTGATCTCAATGGAAATGGCATCTCAATGAATTGTGTTTAGAAACGGGATGGAACGTATTCACAGCAGGCTTGGTACGTGCTTCTGAGAGAAAGAAGCAAAAGGACGCAGCGAAAGAGAAGGCTGGCTGCATGCAAGCAAAGCCGGTGGTGAAACATGGCATGTGTGAATGCAAAAGAACTGGCAGGTGGGGCCACCCATACGTGTGTGACTTTATTGCTGTGGCAGGAGGAGGAGCAGCTCTGAGGAAGAGCGGGCTCACATATTAGCCTGGGAGGAGTGGCATTGGTGAGAATAAGGGAAGAAACAGAGGAGGCCATGTAAGGATTTCAGCTGTTCGAGGCAATGCATGTGTTTGCCATATTGTGCATGCGTGAAAGGGTATTTGCTGGGAACTGTGCAGAAATGGCCCTAAAAGGTCATCCTGTGCTGTGCTCTGCTTTCATTGCATTTATGATGGGGCCAGGATGCCTGTGTGTCCATGGAGACACGTCGGTTTGTGTGTGAGTGAGGGAGATAAAACCGGAGTCTTGCCGCGAATCTGCCTCCTTGGATGTTTCCTTGTATGAAGGAAGTGTGGGGCTGTGGCTTTGTGTGTCAGGACATAGATGGAATGACAGGACAGCCTGAACAATGGGAATCCTCTGTGCGGGGGCGGGGGAGAACCAGGAGCCGGGAGCCCCTACATAGTTGGCCATGCATGATTTTGCGACCATGAGTATGATTAAGCGAGTGCAAACCCATATGGATGGCCTTAAAGGTCCCTTTGTGTGAACAAAAGCAAGACTGTGTAACGTGTAACGTTTCTCACAGTATGGTTAGGAGACAAAGGTCCAACCATTCCGGATTTGGAGCTCTTTGTCCCAGCGTGGGTCACGATGGAAAAGCAAGCCGGAGTGCTGTCCCATGGGCGGTCACACACACCTGCACGGGTGTCATCCTGGCAACACTTGACAGGCAGGTCTGCTGGAAGGGGTGTGCGAAGGTGCAGGCGGGGGCGAGAGCGGCTGAGCCCGCGGGGAGCGCGGATGGGAGCGCGAGGGCATCCATCTGGGTCACAGGGCCCCCGCTGGCCTGCCGCTCGCCTGCATGCGTGCGCCCCTTCCGTGCTTCTTCTCTCCCCAAGTGATGGCTTTCTTGCTTGCTTCCTCCTTTCCTACCTCTGCTCCCCGCCCCCCCCCGTCCTGCAGGTGGTTCCGTGGGGGGCGGCAGCGCCTGGCCCGAGCCCGCGACGTGAGGAAGCCGAGGCCGCGCGCGGGGCACGGCGGCGGTCAATGTTATTTGAGCGGGCTCCCGAGGCCTTGGCGACCGCAGAGCCCACGATGCAGAAAACCGCCTACTACGACAATGCGGCGCTCTTCGGGGGCTACGGCGGTTACGGCAAAGCGGATGCCTACGCCTACACCAGCGGCCCGCCGCAGCCCTACGCCCAGCCGGCTCTGGACACCGACTACCCGGGCTCGGCCTGCTCCCTGCAGGGCGCCGCCCCCATCCGGCCGCCGCCGCCGCCGGCCCACAAGAGCGCCGACCTTAGCGGCAGCTGCATGCGCACGGCCGGGGGCAGCCAGGCCGCCGCGCCGCCGCCGCCCCCAGGCCTCGCCGAGCAGCAGCAGCCTCCGCCGCAGCAGCAGCAGCAGCCTCCGCCGCAAGCGCCGCCCCCCGCGCTGCCCTCGCCCTCCCCGCCGAACAATAACCCCGCCCACGCGGTTCCCGCCAGGAAGGGCAAGGGCGGGCCCAACGCGTCGAGCGGCTCGACGGCCACCATCAGCAAGCAGATCTTCCCCTGGATGAAGGAATCGCGCCAGAACTCCAAGCAGAAGAGCAGCTGCGCCCCCGCAGGTACCCCGCCGGCGCCCTCCTCCTCCTCCCTCTGCGCCCTCCTCGTCGAAGAGCAGCAGCCCGGGTCCTCCCGGCGGAGTAGCCGAGGGCGCTCCTTGCCCCTAGTCAGTGTAGCCAGTCATGGGGCGCGAAGGGGCTGTGGGCCAAGGGTTTCCCCGGAGCGAAAGGGCGGATAATCGCAGCGCTTCGAGGAAGGGTGTTCTAAGCCAGCATCCTGCTTCCCGCCTTGGTCTGCCAAATGCCACTGGGAAACCCACAAGCAGGCCGCGAAGGCAGTAGCCCCCCTCACCGACGGGTCTTCAGTGGCTACCTCCCTGCGAACCTGGAGGTTTCCTTTGGCCATCAGGACTGGTAGCTTTTGCCAGTCAAGAATTTCACTATGCCCATCTGCCTTCAGACTTTGTAGTTGCAAGTTCTAGGTATGCCACAGGCTTGGAAGGTGTTGGCCCCCAGATGATGGTGGATGATGGTTCCCCTCATCCCCGACCATCAGGAGTCCAACAACACCTGCAGAGCTACAGGTTTTTCACGGTTGCTATTAATTTAAGTCCGCATTTAACATTAAGGAGGCAAGAGATCAAATCACACAGGACCTTTCCTGGCTAAATACTGAATAGAGCTGATGGAGGGTGTGTGCAAAGCCCACCTCTGTACAATGTTATAAGCAGCTAGCTCTTCTAGATCTTTGGAACAAAGGAAGATAGTCGGAGCTACTTTGCTGGCTTGTGGGTAAACTGCATGACTTACAACATCTTATTTCCATCTTTTTTTTAAAAAACCTGCCTACTGAATATTCAGCCTGAAGAAGAGTTCTGTGTGACTGCAAAGCTTATATTCTAAATTCCATGGGAAATTCCTCCAGTTTCAGGATTCCACCTGTTCTGTATGCACACAAAGGGAGAGAAGTAGATTAATTAGAAGCAATATTTTTCACTGGCTCTACCTACTGAATTTATTTTACAGGAGAAACCTGACTCATACCTTAGAGAAAAGACAAATTAGAATCTGAGACAAACTTGCTTAAATACATTTTATATAAAAGAAAATGGATATACTTCTGAACCCACAAGATTAGCATGAGTACTCCAGTATATTTAAGGGCCTCTCCTCATGTAACTGAAAACAGTACTCCTAAGAATCTGTGTTTGGAAATGTCTAATTGAAACCAATGGTATTTGCTTCCCAGTAATGAGTTTTAGGCTGGGGTTTTAAATTGCAAAGAAAAGAAACAGAAGGTGAAGGGGTGGAGTTGGGAATGCTTGTCCTCTTTTGTCAAGTCAGAGTTTTGCATTGCTCTTTCTTATGAGGGATGTAATAAAGCACATAATCAGCCTATAGAGCATTAGATATGTCATTTGTTACCCCAGTTCTCACCCATTCAGGACATAGTGCTTACACTTCATATCAGACCTCAAGGCATCAGTGTCCCTTCTCTTTTCCTCTCAGTTGATCTGGCAAATCTTAAGAGACTGTATAATCATGTGCAACTATCAAGTAGCCCCCCCCCCAAAAAAAAAGAGACCAGATATTCTAGTAAGCTGGTCTTTCCCTAAGTCACATTACGTAGAGATGCTGTGTCCCCCAGAGTCTGTGACCTGCTTTGGCTTACTCTCTGAACTGCCTTCATGGGAACATTTCTAACAAGGAGCAGCAAATTCTGGGAGGTTGATACGGTGGCCCTCACATTCCTCCCAATTTAAAATCTGCTGACATGCAGAGAAAAGGAGGAGTGGTGGCAAGACCAACCATTTTCTACCTTAGGGCCAGCCTTCCTTGGTTTCTAATAGCTGCCCACTTTGGAGAGGGAGGGAGAGTGCAGTGTAATTCTGGGTTTGTCTGATGTCCTTCCTCTGGGAATCTCCAGTCTGCTCTTCTCCCCACTTCAGAGAGATAATAAACGTGCCTGGTTTACTCTTGTTAGCAGCTGCAGCTCCATTGTCTTCAAAGTTTTGAAGCCTGGTCCTTGTTCTTGTTTGGGACCAGTCAAGAAAACCTTCCTGGGCTTTGTCAGGAATCGATCGATTCTTCCAATTAAATTCGATGATTTACAACACTCCTGGCTGGAACTGGAACTTTTCTGTCCCTCTGAGACCTCAGAACTGACGCTCAACCTTGGTTCCCTCCCAACATGGTGGGAGATCGAACCAGGTCATTTTACACATAGTATGGGATGCGTAGGAGAGTAGCTGAATGAGAACCTGAGTAATAGGCACTGGTCAAAAAGACTTTTTAGTTAAAAAAAAATCCAATGCAATGGAAGGATTTGTGAAAGTGTCACTTCGCTTACCCTATTCATAGTTACACTCCTGCCATGGGGATATGAGGCAGCAGTCTTCACTAATGTATTGAAATGGTGCAGGGTGCTGAGCTTTGCAGTCCTTTTCCTGGTCCAGTTTCACCTCACTTTAAATTCTAGACTTCAGTTTTCTGAAAAAATGCTTTTGGGGGTGGTGGATTTAGAACTCTGGGAAGAGAATACAGTCCAGGAAGAGGGAAGGCATTAGTTGCTAAACTGCCCAAGGAAAGTCTACAGATACAGAATAATATCACTTCAGACAGATTGTGCAATGTGTAAATAGCTTGATTCAAACTGGGCGATAATAGCGATTTGTGTACGTTTTTCAAATTGGCAACTACTCCTCCAGAATGCCCAAGTGTCCCTCCCCTCCTTGCCGCTGCGCCAGTAATGCTATCAGGCTTTGTAAATCAAGCAGCCACCAAACCAACCTCCTCCTCCTGCTTCTTTCTCTCCTTTTTCGACAGGAGAGAACTGTGAAGATAAAAGCCCCCCAGGCCCTGCTTCCAAACGGGTCCGCACCGCCTATACCAGCGCGCAGCTGGTGGAGTTGGAGAAGGAGTTTCATTTCAACCGCTATCTCTGTCGCCCACGCCGCGTCGAAATGGCCAATCTGCTGAACCTGACAGAGCGTCAGATCAAGATCTGGTTTCAAAACCGGAGGATGAAGTACAAAAAAGACCAGAAAGCCAAAGGGATTATGCACTCCCCGGTGGGACAGTCCCCTGACCGAAGCCCGCCTCTAAGCGGCCCAAACCACGTAGGATACTCCAGCCAGCTCCCCACCGTCAGTAGCTTAAGCTATGATGCTCCGTCGCCAACATCCTTTGCCAAATCGCAGCAAAACATGTATGGGCTGGCAGCTTACACGGCCCCTCTCAGCAGCTGCTTGCCCCAGCAGAAAAGGTACCCAGGAGCCGAATATGACCATCATGCCATGCAAAGCAACGGTGGCTTTGCCAACCCCAATTTGCAGGGCAGCCCTGTGTATGTTGGGGGGAACTTTGTTGATTCCATGCCAGCCTCTGGCCCGATGTTCAACATCAGCCATCTTTCTCATCCTTCATCCGCCAGTGTGGACTACAGCTGTGCTGCTCAGATCCCGGGCAACCACCACCATGGACCTTGTGACCCTCATCCCACGTACACAGATCTTACTTCTCATCACACATCTCAGGGAAGGATTCAGGAAGCCCCAAAACTAACGCATCTGTAGTAGACTGGAATGGATTCAAAAAGAGAGACAGAGAGAGAGATTTAATGTACTCGCATTTAAATTACCTCACTTTTTTCCTGATGTTACAGTATAATTACTTTGAGTACTTCAAGTATTAGTGGATTTCTGTGTCCCCAGTAGCAGCTATGTTATACTGTTTATTTCTCTGGTGACTCCTAAGTCCATGATTTCTTTTTTTTTTTGGTTCTTCTAATTTTTATTTTAACAGTTTAAAAGCATGGCAGTGCAATATCGTCATATAAAAAGAAACAAAAAACATCCCAGAAGGGAATAATAATTGGTAATGAAGTATTGGAAGGTAAGTTGTAGAAATCCATTAGTATTAGCAGCAAGGGAGTCCTGATGAGCAGTTTACAACTATTGGGACCAAAATGGGGACTTGTTTGGAGAATTTAATTTATAGGAGCCTTCAGCAATGTAAAATATTGCTTTGGACTTAAATAAGATGTATTTATTATTTTAAGAGAAACATTTTTGTATCATTGCTTATTTAATCCTTGTCTTCAATGTATTTATGTGGATATTTGTAGAGTTTCTTCAATGCCCTCTCCCCCTAACCTCGGAAGATTGATTCAGGTCTTTGGTGACTATACATTTTCACCTATTTAGTATATTTGGTCTGAAATAGAAAAAGTAGTTTTGAACAGTTGTAACAGTGGCTGGTGTTTGTAGTTTATGTAAGGATTAAGCAAATTGTAAGTCAAGTCATAGATTAATACAAAACTGAAACTTTACCACAAAGAGCCGCTACATTTTTTAAAAAAGAAAATCTAAAAATATAACATGTTAATTTATTTCTGATGGTTTGATATCATTTTACTTAGAATTAAAAACAACCCTCCTTAGGTTGGAAGTGTATCTCATTTACTGTTAGCATTTCCTCTGTTGTGGCACTGGGTTGTGTAGGTTTTGTGGCCCACTTCGACATACTTAGAAATTGGTAACGTTAATCCTATTCATGTCTACTCAGAAGTAAGCCTCACTGATTTCAGTGGGACTTACTCCCTGTTCGGTTTGTCTAGGATTGCAGCCTTACTATCTGTTACATGAACAGATTTGTCTGGCTGTTATTGTGTATTAAACCTAAAATAAGCAAAAACTTCTATCTGAAGATTAGGAACAATATAATTGATGTAATTAGGATATCTGTAGCAATTCAGGCTAAAGAAAACTGTCCGTTTCAGTTATTGTTATTATCATTGTTCCTGTTCCTGTTGTCGTTGTTGTTATTATTTATATGATATTTATGCTAACCATAGTTCACTTTTATACATATCACTGGAAACATGAACTTACTTTTGCTGAATAAGGAGGGGAAACAAAAGAAGAAAAAACTTTGAATGAAATATTGACAATCAAGTAAATACAAAGGAAAGACTGTGTTAGAGTGTAGGAGAAGAAATCCTGAAATGCTCAGAATGAATTTTGAGGTAGGAAATTGCTAGATCTCTCAATATTTAATATAGTCTTCAGTAGCAGACTTTGGTACAATCCTTGTGTAAACAAATGTTTCTGCCCAGAGCCTAAAAGGGACAAGAAACACAAACATCCTTTTTCAAACCGCCCCCACCCACCCACTCTTCCTCTTTATTTATATGTTGCATTTAATCTTTTACCAGATTTATAAAGCTATTCTCAACATAAAAGTGTCATTTGGTACATGTTGGAAGCGATACATGCCCATTAATTCAGCGGGAAGTGTTCCTTATCGCTTTAAAAAGTGCTTAGTTAAGATTCAGATCTTTTGAATTCCCACAACAGAACTGTAGCGAAATCTCACTTTTCAGTTTGACTAATAATGCAACTCCATCTCTCCACATCCTAATGGCAACTCCTGCAATTCTTTCTGTGTGAGAGGTTTTAACTCTTACATTTGTGTCTAGTTGGACTACTGTTCCGGGGTTTGTTTGTTTTTTAAAAATGCCATGTTAATAATGAGAGAAGATGGGAAATGTATTTCTTTTGTTAAATTTCACTTTTACCCAAGTGTTGTAGATCTGTAAACAAAACAGAATAAACAGCTTCAAACGAAGAAATATTTTAACCACATCTGGATCTAAAGTGGCTTTCTGTTTATACCAGCACCCTTTTTATTTAAAAAGTGACAATAAAATCACTTAGAATATGCACAGCCAGTGAGCTATAACAACAAATACGATTTCCAGAATGTCTTCCAGAAAAAGCCAGCCATCGAATTGATAAATAAATAGTGCATGTAGATTTTATGTTCCTCGTGTGAGTGCATAATTCACTTTCACTCCTATAAATCAAAACAATGCATAAGGAATCCAACCCTGGGTAGGCCCTTTATGGTATGGTATGGTATGTCACTCAATAGGCGTGCACTGAATCTGAAGGACTGGGAGGCCCAAGGGTTACCCACAGCTTAATGTTTTATGGGTATGCCTTCAGATGGAGTCCGGGCTGTCTTGTGTTATTATTTCCTCTTCCAGCCATGTAAAGGGGATGCCATAATTTATAAATTGGAGCAGAGAGAGACTGGGAACATGTTTTGCAATTTATTTATTTTTAATGTTTTTACAATGTAGGTAATGTTAATAATAATAATTCCTTAGTTGCCTTTCTCTTAAAAAACTCAAGGCTACTTTTGACAAAATCATTTAAACATACAAATCAAATACCTAAAACAATGTCCATAAAATATCAAAATATAATAGCTAAAATATTTGTACAGGCTAAAACCATTTGTTACGTTGTATAGGCAATGCTTTTACATTATGGCTACGATTCTAGTTTCTATTTCTAGCAGGATAGCTGTATTAGTTTATTGCAGCCAAAACAACTAACAATCTTGTGGCAGCTTAAAGACTTAACCAAAAAACAAAACAAAAAACAGCCCAAGCTTTTGTGGACTACAGCTCACTTTGATGAAGTTCACAAAAGCATTTTCAAGTCAAGGAAATTTAAGCAGCCTATAACCAGGATTAAGCACCAAGTTTTGTTTCATTCCATTTTATTTTAAAGTTATTTTGAAGTCACCCTAGTAAGCATGTCTTGGGAAATCATCAATTTCAGGGCTGCTGGTGGTGTATATTGTTGGAAATGAGAGAGCCTCTATTTAACCATAACCCAATCATTGGAAACAAATGTCTGCCTTCACTCAGTCTCTGGCTTTTTGCCTTCCTGCAGGAGGCCAGCCATGGAACCCGCCAAGGCTAAACAAATTACTTGGCAAGAAATCCCTATTGATTTCAGTAGAGCTTACTTCCAAGTAAACAGGTGTGGGATTCATGCCCAGAGAGGGGGAGAGGGAGGGTGCATATTTCAAAGGAGTCAATGGCAAAACTCCCACAGATTTTAATGGTGCTGCTTTGCACTCAACCACTCTTCTGGCATAAGGTTTCTTTTGCTTTGGCCTGCCACTCAGATCACCATAAATTATAAACAACTGGCTTTCACACCTAACAGAACATCTGCTCCATCTAACTTCCTGAACCATTGGGTTATCTGAATAAAATACAATGTGTTACAAGCAGGGCCAAGATTTCACTCCTAGCCCAAACCTTTGTAAAAAGCCTACAGCTCATAGCAGACTTCCCAAGCCCATAGAAGCCCAGAGCTTTTCTCTGAAGATGAAATCAGAAGGGAGGTTGCGGGGGCTTGCATTGCATTGACTTTGCTGTAATTTTAGTTATGCGGGATCACTGATCGACAGTCCAAATGAAGTTACTGAACTTGCTGCTCTACCCCAACTTTCATTACTCTGCCTCTTTCATTCAAGGGTAGTTTTTATCCCAATTTTCAACCAAGTTTCTCAGGGTGGCTCACAAAGGCCAGTAAAAAGACAGTTTCAAGTCCCAGATTTACAGTCTAAGAGGCAAAATGCAAAAAGAAAGTGGACTGGGAGGTGTGGGGAGGAAATTTAGGCATTTAATTTTCAAGGTTAAAGGTAAGGGGAAGGACGGCTGCCTTAACTGTTTCAGGTCTGCTTTTAATCTTTTTGTAGTAGAAGCAGACAAGGAAGACAGCAGACTCTGAAGAGGCCTTTATTACCCCTGGTTTTATTTAACAGCACTTATTTATCTATTCAAAATTACCTGCTATATCTCAAGGTCTGAAAGTGAATTTTATTATTGATTTGTGTTGCTCTTTGTGACATGTAGGACAGGGGAACTAAGGGAAAGGTGTATGTGTAAGAAACCACACTTCAAAAACCATCTTCCTCATTCTTTCTAGGTCCACAATCCTAAACACACTTTCCTAAAATAAAAAAGTAAATCTCAGCAAAGTCTGTTGAATTTAGGATTGGTCCCAAGGCCACCAAATGGAGCTACTTTTGGTCTTCTGCACATCCATTCCACAGCCATTGCCTAGCATTCCCAAACCTAGAAACAGTTTTCTTTCATACATACTACTATGTATTGCAATCCATCTAACAAAGGTAGCCAGCAAGAACAATGCGGTTACAAATATAACTTTACCAGTGCACAGAAAGGGAGTGTAGAATACCCTCTCTCCTCCTTCCAGATAATCGGAGAGTGACAAGTTGCTAAAGTTTTGAGGACCGCTTTACCGAGGCGAACTCGGAAGCAGAATCCGCATCCATTACAATTGCCCAAATTGTAGCAAGGCCCCCGTCGCTCTGAAAAAGAGGTGGTGGGAGGTGGGGAACGAGCAAATGTTGAGCGACGGGCAAATGTTAGCGGTGTTAGGCAAGGCAGAGCTGGCTCCCCTTTCAGGATCAAAAATGACCCGCTCCAGAAGGGAGCGAGGCCTCTAGCTCTCAGCGGAGCTTCCCCGCGCGGGAAGCCGCTGCCGGGCTCGCCAGGCGCCTGTCCTGCCGGCGGGATCCCGCCCACACTGAGGCGAAGCCCCGAGGGGCGGCCTCCTCGCCGGGCCCCCCTCCTCATTGGCTTGGAGGGCAGCCTGTAGCTAAGCAACCTCCGCCGGATAGGGCGCCGCTCGGCGGGGTCACCGGGGGATACGCTCCGCTGGAGCGGCTCGGGAGCTTGCGGGAGCGACGCAGCGGCCTGCCTGCCTCGTGTGACTCGGATGCCTTCTCTCCCTCCCCGCCCCCACCCCTTGCATCCTCGCCACCGTAATAGCGCCGTGTGCAAACAAAGGGGTCCCGGTAGCCATTTTTTGCCCAATAATAATGCAGAGGTTGCCAGACAGGCAGAAAAACAAAGCGAGTGGCGCCTCAGAAGAGGGTCG